CACCGGGCCGCGGGTCTTCGACCGAGGACCAGACGGCTGGGCCCATCGTGTCTGGGCGAATGTGGCCAGTTCCTTCCTGACTGGGCCAAGAGGGGACAAGGAGGGGGGGGGGGGGGGGGGGGGGATAGGCCAATTACCTAAACGCACGGATGGACAACAGGAGGGCGGGCGAGGGACAGGCTGATCTGGCCCACGCACCGGGACCCCCCGGTGGGGAGGAGGCCGAACCCCGGCCAGGCGCTCGCGTGTGGTCCCAGTGGCCGAAGGCCGGGGTGCTGGTGGCCTGGCGCAGCCTACCTCCAATTGTCGCAGGACCGAAATGCCCTGGAGATCCCCGCGCCACTTAAACCCTCCTCTCACAAGCGTCCCACGCACCGTGCGGTGTGGGTGTGGATCACATGTCTATCGGATGATCCTGCGGAACGGTGTTAGGGCGATCCGCCTGATCGCGACTAGGGCGGGGGCGCATGTCTCCCAGGTGGGGCCAGCCTTTTCTAGCGCTCGACATCAGCGCACATACACGCACACGCCCACACCCACACATACACACACACACACACACACACACACACACATACATTCACCCAGCTGGCCCCCTTTTCCGCGCTCTCCGCAGCGGCTGCCTGGAGCGCGCAGCCAATCACCTCTACAAGAGTCTCCGCGCCGACCGGCGCCCGCGGCGCAGGAAAATCCCATCTCACGCGGAGGGGGGGGGAGCTTGGTCGGCCGAGCGCTCATCGACCTTCTCCTCCCTCGTCCCCCTCCCGCACCCTGGCCGTCAAAAGGGGTCCTGCCCCACCGCGGGGGGGGAAAAACGCCATTAAACCCGGGAGCATGGACTATTTTGGTGGCGATAAAAAAGATCCCAATCCTGGACAAATGCCTTCTGGCGGAGGTATCTCCCCCAGCGCCCCAGGTCCTCTCGAACGAAAGGCCCAGGGCCGGCCACACACACCAGTGTGGAGGGCAGGCGCCTCCCACGCCTCTGGCTTCCCGGCCTCCTCGCTTGGCGGGGGGAGGCGACGATGTACCTGGCTCTTGTTGTAAAGGGAGGTTATGCTCAATGTTGGCAATCTATGAAAGCTGCCCGCTCACTGGGGGGGGGGGCACAGGGGCGCAGCAGGGGTGGGGGGCTGGGGCGGAGGCGCCCGGCGCCTTCCGGCCTGGTTCTCCACTCGGTTCCCTCTCTCGGGCTCATGGTATTTTGTCCCTCGCTCTCCCGCCGCTCCCTACCGCCGTCCCGGCTTCCCGAAGTCCCGGGACCGCCGAGCAGGCGGCCCGGCTGTCATGCCTAGTCCCCCCCCCCCCCCCCTGCTTAACACGCTTGTATTGGGAGCCCCACAACCCTCCGTTATTGGTTCGTTTGGGGTCAAAATGAAGCTGTGTGTGTGTGTGTGTGGCTTGTGTCTGCCGGCGACTCGGTGTGCTCCCGTGTGTGGTAGTCTCTACCCCCGGTCCCCTGCGAGGGGGGGGCGGGGCGGGAGCCCTGACGTATCGTCTGCGACAGCTGCTCGGTCCCTGCCGGGCGGCTCTCCCGGGGATGTGGGCCGAGGTTCGTTCTGTCAGGGCCACGAGAAGCCTCTCTGTCGAACGTGCGGCCCGGGACAACCAAACGAGCCCGCCCCATTCCGCGGCTGAAAAGCGCATGCTCGCGGCCAGTCAGGCCCCCAAGGCCAGACGGGGAGGAGCGAGCCACGCCAAAGGAACACCGGCACTGTCTCCTGCCCACCCGCAGGCTGGCGTCTCTTCCGGGGCGGGACCAGAGGCCGGTGCGGGCGGGCGGGGGGGGGGGGGGGGGTCACTGATCTGGTCACGCATCCCACTTTCTCCTTCCCCCATTGCCCGGGAGAGGCGGCGTCCCCTGCCCCCGGCGGCATGCCTGGCTTGCCACTGGTGTCTATGCCAGCATGTGTGTGTGCCTCCATTTGGCTTCTTGTGTGCGCGTCTGTCGGTGTGAAAGCTGCTGGCTGTTCCCGGTGCCGGCGAGGGGGCTGTTTTAGCTGTAAATGCCGCCGTTTTGCCAGGGTCGCGCCGCCGATGATGAAGAGATGAGCATTCACCGATAGTCTGATGTCCCTGGCAGGGGGCGCGGCGGGGGCAGTACGGGGCAGGTAGGCTGGGGATACATCGCCTTGTCCGAGGGCGTCTCCTTTGCGTGTGTGTGTGTGTGTGTGTGTGTGTGTGTGTGAGTGTGTGTGTGAGTGTCTGTGTGTGTGGCTTTGAGCCTGCCTGGGTCTGTCCAGATGTCCCCCCCCCCCCCCAGCATAGGACTTTGACGCCGGGTGGGGGGGGGGGCAGGGAGCAGGGGGCGTGTTGTGGCTTCGTATATTCCTCGCTCCCCCCCTCTTCGTTTGGAGTTCAGTGAGAAACGATATTCGGGGGGGACAGGGCCGGGGGGGGGGGGGGGGATCTTGGCGTGCCTGTGGCAGGGTCAGCTCCGGGAACAGCTCATGCACCTACACGCGCCCCACACCCCAGAGGCGCTGAAGCCGGGCAGGGCACCCGGGCGCCTGCCGCCGAGCTTCTCCAGGAGTGCATCCTTCCCCGTTTGGGCCTCCCTTCCCGCGGCTCCCTTTGTTGACTCTCTCTCTCTCGTCTCCCTCTCCCGGTCCCAGGCATGTGGGGGCTTCCTGGCCACACCCTTCTCCGACTTCCCCAGCCCGACCCCTCGCCCCGAGACTCACCCATCCGCTGGGGGGGGGGGGGGGGGGGGGCGGGGGGCCGATCTCGCTTCTTCAGGCGGTCCGGGGCCCCCCCCCCCCCGTTCCCCCAGGGCAAGACATCCCACCCCGGCGAGCGAGACCCCCCCCTCCTCCCCTCCTCCCCCACCTTACCCCCCCTTCGCCACATCGCCCCTCCCCGCGCGTGTTGCCCCTCCCCCCCCCCTCCCCTCATCTCCCCGGCCACAGCCATGTTTTCCTGGTTCTGGAGCATCCTTAACTACCTCGGTTCGTCCTCGCCCGTCTTTTCCTGGATCGTGCCCCGTCGGGGCTCGACTGGTGACCTTCCTCGTCGCCGGCTGCCCCGTGCCCTAACTCCTGTCGGCCCCCTCCCCTCTCGATGTCCCTCCTCTTTTCAGGTCTTTACGGCAAGAATGCCAAGATCCTCTTCCTGGGTCTGGACAACGCCGGTAAGACCACCCTCCTGCATATGCTGAAGAATGATCGCCTTGCCCAGCTGGCTCCCACCCAGTATGCCAGTGCGTCGACTTGCCTTTGTCCCTTGTTCCCCCTCTCGAGGACCAGCGGGGGCGGCCCACCCTTCTCTCGGTCTCTCCGTCTTCCCTTCCCGCCCCTGTTCGGCGCCTCTGCGCCATCCCATCCGGCATTTTCTCGCATTCCCTCCAAACTCTGCTGGCCTCTTTCTCCCTTGGCTTACCTTCCCAACGTCCTTCCTGCTGCGCCTCCAGCCTCCGAGGAGCTTACCCTCGGCAACATCCGCTTCAACACCTTCGATCTCGGCGGTCACGAGAACGGTGCGCCTTCTTCTCCCCTTTCTTTCGTCCCCGGCGCCGCGTCCGCCACCCTTGGTGTTCTTTTTTCTTTTCATGGCCACCTTCCCCTTCACCGGTTCTTGTTGGCTCTCCGCTCTTTTTCTTTCTCCTAATCTCGCCTCTTCGCGTCCCTACCGGCCCCTGCTGCGACCCTTCTAGCTCGCCGTGTCTGGCGCGACTACTTCCCCGAGGTCAGCGGCATCGTCTTCCTGATTGATGCTTCGGATCCTCAGCGTTTCGAGGAGTCTAAGATCGAGCTCAACGTGCGCCATCACCGTTGATTGCTTGCAATCACCATCGCCCACTGCTTTGACCATCGTTCCCGTTCCTGGATCCCACTCACACCTGCCCCTGTCTTCTCTCTCTCTCTCTCTCTCTCCCCCTCCATCTCCCCGTTTCCGTATCGGTATCCCCCCCCCTCTTTCAGAGCCTTCTCCAGCTGGAGGAGCTCGCCAACGTTCCGTTCCTGATCTTCGGCAACAAGATCGACCGCGAGACCGCCGTCTCCGAGGACGACCTCCGGAATTACTTTGGTCTCATTTCTACCACCGGCAAGGGCAACGTCAAGGGCGACCCTCGCAACCGCGCCATCGAGGTCTTCATGTGCTCGGTTCTCATGCGCCAGGGCTACCGCGATGGTACGTACCTCCGGTGCTTCTGCTCCCTCCTCTCTGCAAAGCGGCTTTTCCCTGACCGGTTTTTCCTCTTTCTCCTTGCCAACCATGCACTCTCTCCCTTCTCATGGGGCGTGCCTTTTCTGTGCACACTTTGCTCTCGGTCTCCATAACTGGCCCCTCCTTCCCCTCCCCCAGGCTTCCAGTGGTTCTCCCAGTTCATCTAAGCTGGCAGTCCGTTCGAGCTAGCACACCACGCGCTCGCGCGTGTGCCCCATGTAGAGTTGAGGCACACCCGCGGTGTGCGACCTTCCTCCCTCCCCCCCTTCCTCTCCTTCCCTCCTCCTTCTCTCACAGATCCCTTCCCCGGAGCACTGTCTTCTGCTCATCGACCTTGCGACTTCCCTTCTTCTCCCCCCCCCCCTCCCCCCCCTGAGAGACCCAATCATGTTATCTGCTCTTTTTTGCCTTGCGCGACGGGGCGCCTCTGTTCCTCCAGAAAAAAACCCCAATATACACCCATGCATACATATGCAAATGCCGACGCGCATGGCCCCCCTCCTTTTCCAGACAAGGCAAGTCACATCCACACGCGTGCGAAGGGTGCACCCTGGCGCATGCTTGCGTCGAAGCTTTTTGCAGAGGATTTATGGGTAAAGAAGGTGGCTGGGCGCGGCGAGGGGGCTGTGCGTGCGTGTGTGTGTGTCGCTTGCCGCCCTCTCTCCCCGGGGCTGGGTGGGAGAAAAAAAGGGCAGGATGCAGGAGGACAGGGAGTTTTTTTTTTGTGCATCTAGTCCGAGTCGCTGCCCGAGTCGCTGTCGTAGGAATCGCTGGATGCCTGCATCTCGGCCACGCGCATGCGACGCTCCTGCTCGAGACGAACCTGCTGGAGGAGATTCGCACGCATGCCCTCGCTGGAGTTGGGGTGTTAGAGTTGTGGCGAGGGGCGGCCAAATGGGATGGGCGCGGGGAAGACGACGTACACAAGGGCACCAAGGCCGATGAAGGTGAAGAAGTTGATGGTGTTCCGCAAGTCCATCGGGTGGTTGAGAGGGAAGAGCTATTCACGGCGAGGATGGCGTGGTCAGTATGTGGCGATGCTGGTGGATTTCGAGCAAGGGGCGCGATCGCGCGCGCACGTTGGTGAAGGCGGCCTCAAGGACCGGGTCGCAAATGCGATCGTTCAACTCCTGCAGACTTTTGGCCCAAACCCAAAGAGGCACGCGGAACAAGGCCCGGGAGAGCGAGAGAAGGTTAGCTGCGGCGGGCAACGGCGAAATGCGCCTGCCAGCACTTTCGACCGGGGGGGGGGGGGGGGGGGGGGGGGGGGGGGGGGGGGGGGGGGGGGGGGGGGGGGGGGGGGGGGGGGGGGGGGGAAAGAAGCAGGCGCAGATGGGAAGGATGGCCGAAGGGGGGAGAGGAAGGGAGGACAGGCACGTACCCCATCTTCTCGGCGAGGTCAAGGAAAACGGTCTTGATGAAAATGCGCTTGGCCGCGTCGGCGGCCTCGCGAGTGATGGAAAAGACGTGCATGCACGCCCAGTTGATGGCGTCTGTCATGAAAAGGTGCGAGAAGAAGAGCGCCACATTTCGGGCCCTGGAGGAGAAGGAGGAGGAGGAGGAGCACAGGAGAGGCGCGAAAGGGCCAAAAAGCACCACACGAGATCAGAACATGCACATGGCACAGGAGGGAAGCAAGGAGCGGAGAAGGAGAAGGAAAAATGCAGGCAGGGGACGCCCAGGGTGATGGATAAAACGCACTGGCTGGTGTCGAGCCGGTGGCAAGTCTCATACTGCTCCTCGAAGGCCAGCTCAAAGAGCTCCTGCCAGTGGCGACTCGAGAGGCAGAACTTCTGGCCGATGATGCCGAACATGCGCTGATAGCTCTTCTCCTGTGAGCAAGCCTCAATAATGAGGCTGACATAGATGTTCTCCAGACCACGGATGCGATTCATTTTGAGCAGCTGTCGCGGGGAGATTGCACTGCGTCAGCACGGGGACACACACACACACATGCACATGCTCAAGGGTGATGCTGGCCATGTGCATGGGGGACATTTGCGAGGACGCGCATGCGGGAAACAAAGTGGGAGAGGAAGCGAGGAGCCGGAGGGGTGGCATTTCCCCGGGGGCGCACCTTGTGGACAGCCTCGTCCGCCGTGGCCGAAGACTGAATGACCAGGTAGATCTGTTTCCGGAGGTTTTGGATGTTGGTGTTGGACTCGTCGCGGATTTCCTGCGGTGCGGCACTGCCGAGCGGCACGTCAGGCTGGAGCTCCTCCTCGTCGTCCTCCTCGTCGCTGTCGTCATCACTGCCGTCGCTGTCATCGTCGTCATCGTCGTCGGAGTCGCCGCCGAGGAGTTCATTACGCACGGCCGCCCAAGAGGCCTCATTTTGCACAAAGTCCGGGTCGAACTTGAAGACATTCAGCCCATCCTCCGTGGTGAGGGTCTTGTCGAGCAGCGAAACTCGATGCGTGAATTGGTCATCCTCCTCCACCAAGTCCAACTCCTTGGGGATGATGGGGAACTGGGAAAAGCCATCACGATAGTCCAGCATCAAGGCATCGATCATGTACTGGACGCTATTTGGCCAGGAGGCTGTCAGTGGGAGAGGGGGAAGGGGCGGGCCGAGCAGGGCAGGGCCAGTGTCACCGGGCCCCCCCCTGACCGAGTGGGGGAGGATGTGTGTACATACCGCTTGTCGACGGCCGATTCGTGCAAGATCGAGCGCATCCGGTCCAGGATGAAGTGGAAGGCCTTCGGAGCCTCGGCTTCCAGCAGCTGGCCACATTCGCGGATCAGAGCCACGGCAATCTCCGTCGACTCGTTGGTCAGGCTGCGTGGGGGGATCATGGCACAGGGTGAGTCCGCCGAAGGGGAATACGTCGATCGCAAGGGGCTGACAGAGAGAGAGAGGGAGGGAGAGAGAGAGAGAGAGAGAGGGGCAGGGATGGGGAGCAAACGCACTCCTCCAGAAGCAGGCGCAGGATTTCCAGCACGGTGATCTCATCCGCCACGCGTTGGTTGACCAAGTGTGCGATGAAGCGGACCGTGGCCAAGCAGGCAACCGTATCCTTGGCACGGAAGGAGCGCCGGAAGTTCATCTGGACAGGCCGAGTCAGTGGCAGGGAGGACAGTGAGATGGGCGATTGCCAAATGCCCGGGCAGCCGCAAGCACGTACCACAAGGCGCTTGAGCACCAGCTCGCCATTGGCCGGGAGCTTGGAATTGACCACAGCAACGAGGGCCGCATAGACCGGGGTAAAGACCGGGGCCGCTTGCTGGGAATTGATGGCCGCTCGGGCAAACAGGCCTCGACCGCGAACGAGGTTCTCGCGGATGACCTCCACCACGATCTCCCGAATGTTGGAGACGTTCACCTTGTTGAAGGCGCTGTTGATGGACTTGCGCAGAGCCTCCCAGGCCAGGCGCTGGTACACCTCGGAGGAGGGGTCGCTCGTGGCTGCCAGGTTCTGCACACGCAGCTGGGCCAGCTTGCCAGGCGGCATGTACACACCGCCGGTGCGGCTTTGGTTCTGTGCCCAGGCGGCCATGTCGCGATTGTATGTTTCGGACACGCGCTCGCTGGGGGGGGGGAGTAAAGCGAGGAAGGGAAGGCACACGCACACACAATCGAGTTAGCCAGTTGCGAGGAGGAGGAGGAGGAGGAGGAGGAGGAGGAGGAGGAGGAAGGCGGGCGAAGGCCCACCACTTGGGGTCCTCCAAGGCAGATAGGAGCGCCTCTTATGGGGGAAGGAGGAGGAGAAGAGCACCGGCCACTGGGACGCACATGACAGCATCCTGATCCAAACGCCGAGAGGTGTCCGGATGCTCATCGCGCACAAGACGCGGATGGCCCTCGCGAGCTGGAGAGGCGTCCCGGAGGGGGCGCTTGTGCTGGGGACCTCCAACAATCGACGACAGGGCCGGTGTCCGGCGAAGGCGGTCCACGCCACCTGGGGGAGAGCGCGAGCGCGACCGGAAGGCAGCGCGCGACCGCGGAGGCGAGCGAGACCGTGACCGTGAGGGAGAGGCAGGGGACCGGCGCCGAGAGTGGCGGACAGGAGACCGGGACCGCGAGCGAGACCGGGACCGCGAGCGAGACCGCGACCGGGACCGCGACCGAGACCGAGACCGAGACCGGGAGGCCGATGGAGAGCGGCTGCGGTGATGACCACGGCCGGAAGCCCGGCGCGGCTCGTCACCACTGTCATCCCCCGGAGACAGCGAGCGCTGGCGGTCGGAGGCCATCGGGCCGGAGTCCGCGTCGCGACTGACAGGAGAGCCCATCGTCACGATTGAGCTGAGGTCCAGCGGGGCGGAGCTAGCGCGGGAGGAGAGAGGAGGGGGGCTGGGGCAACGGGGCAGGAGGAGAGGGACAGAGAGAGAGAGAGGGGCGGGAGAGGGGTGCTCAGACGCGCGAGAGGGGTGGCCAGAGCAGGAGAGGGGGGCTGGAGAGGGAGGCCAGCCAGTCCGCAGCATGGATCTGCGGGTGGCCACTAGTTGAGTCGCGCAATGTGCTTGGTCTGTGTGTTTGCGCGCGCGCGCGCGCGCGTGTGTGTGTGCATGTGCGGGCGCCTTTCGTGCGAGGGCCCGGCGGAGGGCGGGAAAAAACTGGCTCCCGATTTCGGCCATCATCACGTGGGGATCATGCCGCTTCATGCGATTCTTAAGTGGGCAGACGGGGCCCGGCCCCGCGCGGCGGCGGTGGGGGGGGGGCGGGGGCACTCCGGCGGCACTCAGGGCCCCTGGGGTCCCTGTCCCAGGGTCCGGGTGTGCGGGACATACGGGCGTCGGGGAGGGGGGGGGGGGGGGCGGTCCTGCCCTTGGCTAGGGTGGTCCTGGTCTGCCGCCACTATCACCACACCCTGGTTTTGGTTTCCCTTCCCCATCCGCCGGGACAAACACGCGTCCCGCTTCTTCAGCCCCCACTATCCCCCCCCGAGAGTAGGGAACAATCTCCAGCCTCAGTTCCCCTGGTCCTTCTCTTTCTCTCTCCCCCCTCCCTTTTCTTCTCTCAACTTCTTCTCCCCCCCCCCCCAGCCATGACCGCCCCTGCTCCGACTCTTGCCCAGTTCCGCTCGATCTACCGGTCGCTGATGCGCGCTGGCCGCGGCTTCCACGCGTACCACTACCGGACGTATGCCCAGCGCCGCGTGCGTGATGCCTTCCGCCAGGCGCACCCTGCCCAGGGGGAGGCTGCTGCCGCGCCCGAGGTCCTGACTGCCCGGTACCAGGAGTGCCAGAACACCCTGGGCTTGATCCAGCGCCAGGCTCTGATTAACCGCCTCTACTCCACCGAGCCGATCGTCATCGAGAAGTAGATACCATACCTGCATCGAGTGGTCACTGCCCCCCCCCCCCCCCCCCCCTCTCTCTCTCTCTCTCTCCCCTTTCCTTTCCTCACTCCGCTTCCAGGCGGAAGGATGACTCCCTCCTGCACGAAGGCGATAGATCGTCTCTCTTGCTGCGCCAGCTCTTTGCTTCGCCGCGCATGGTCTTCTTCCAGCCTGGCGTTTCGGCCCCCCGGGGCTGCTAGAAAAAAAATACACACACAAACTGTCCTTTGTCGTGGGGTGCCCTTCGGGCAACGGAAGCACACAGGAGTCTATTGCTTACTCCAAACGCAGTCGGGTGTTGACATGCTGGCTGGGCCGCGGATCCGCCAGGGACTCGTCTGGCTCGCTGACCAGCATGTGATGCGCCTCGATCTTGAGGTCGGGCTCGCGCCCGCCCACGCCGGCCGAAAAGAGGTGCCCACCAGAGCCTGGCTGCTGGTCGAAGGCCTCCATCAGGGAGCGCTTGGCCGATGGCCGGGTGCCGGGGGGATCTTCCAATGGGGCCATGCCCCGGGAGGGGCCACCCCCAGCCCCACCCGCCTGTGCCTTGGCCGCCTGCTTGGGGTTGGGCAGATCGGCCGGCTTCGAGGGGCGTGGGAGATTAGAAAAGTATGGATGCCGGAGGGCCTCCTCGGCGGAGATCCGCCGGAGGGGATTCATCACCAGCAGGGCCTCCATCAGGCTAATGGCATCCTTGGAGGCGGCGGACAGGACGCTCCCCAGCGGGGATGGCGGAATGCGATTGTTCGGCTGAATGAAGCCCGGCAGGGTGGAGATGCCCTGGGGAAGAGAGGGGAAAGGGGGGAGGGGGCAAACGAAAGGACGCCACACCGGGGAGATTCGTGTCAGAGCATGATAGGGGGCCATGTGCGTGTGTGTGTGTAAGAGAGAGAGAGAGAGAGAGAGAGAGAGAGAGAAGGGGAGAGAGGGGGGGAGGGGTTGAGCGCCAGTACCGGCCACGATGCCTCATCGGGAGTGCCCATTGCATTGTAGATGGTCATCAGCTGGGAGATGTCACTGTCCTCGCCTGTGAAGTAGGGGGTCCGGACGAAAAGCTCGGCGAAGATGCACCCGACCGACCAAATGTCCACCGCGAAGGAGTACACCCGGGCCCCGAGCAAGAGTTCCGGCGACCGGTAGAAGCGCGTCACAACATTCGGAGAAATGGGCGCCGGAGCGGCGCCGGGCTGGAGGGCACGCACACCGGGCGCATGTCGGGCCAGACCGAAATCCGCCACCTTAAGCACGCCCCCGGCGCTGATGAGCAAGTTGTCCGGCTTCAAATCCCGATGCAGGATGCCGTTCACATGGCAGTGGTGCACTCCCCGCAGGGTCATCAGCATCCAGCTCTTGATGTGTTCGGCCGAGAAGATGATGGATCGCTCCTCGATCAGGTTCTTCAGGTCGTGGTCCAGGAATTCCAGGACCATGTGCATGTTGTGGCTTTCGATGTATGCATCCAGGAGCTTCAAAGGGCGTGTGAGAAGGCCACCTCTTGGGACAGCCGGGAGGGGAGAAGGGAGCCAAGGCGAGAGAGGGGGCGGGGGAGGAGAAAGAAACGCAGGCCATGCGCGAGCGCGGATCGAAAGATACCTGAATGACATTGACGTGGTTCATTTCGCGCAGGGCGCGAACCTCCCGCAGGGCGGTAATGTCAAGTCCAGTCTTGTAGTGGGTCATGCGAACACGCTTGATGGCCACCTTCGTCTGGTCGTCGAGGCTGCGCACATCAGCCCGGCCAGCGGTGGTCAGAGGCAGGGAGTCAGGGGGGGGGGGAGGGGAGGGGAGGGGAGCGCCATGGGCGTGGCCCTCGAAGGGAGGGGAGCAAAGGGTGGCATCATGCCCGGGCGCACCTGTCCACTCCGAGGTAAACATCACCGAAGGTACCGGAGCCAAGCTTCTTGCTGGTGATACGATACCGCCGAGAGGAGGCCAGCTGCTCCAGGCTGGGGCCGGGCTCAAGAGCGGCGGATGAGGCCGATGCCGAGGCTGGAGCCGAAGTTGACGGCGACGAGGACGACGACGCGGAGGACGGCGGCGGCGGGCCTGCCGCCGGAGGGGGCGAGCCAGCCTGCGAGGCACTCATGATGAGGCGACCGGGGAGGCGGAGGGGAAGAGCGGGGGGGGGGACGCGAGACGAGGCGAGGAGAGGAGGGAGAGAAGGGGATGGAATGGCGGGCGCGAGGCGGAAGAAAGAAGGGCAGGGCGAGGGGCAGGAGGCCAGCGACGGGGAGGAGCGGCGGAGGGATTTCTATTCTCCTTCTCTCTTTCTCTTCCTCGCGGGGCCGGCCCAAACATCCACACAGGGCGGGCGCTCTTGGAGCCCACTTAGTCAGACCCCCCGCTCCGGTGCCCGTGCCCTTCGCCGCTGGCCGTTCTCATGCTGCCGGCCCGCGGCCCGGAGCCGCCCCCCTCCCCCCCCCGCCGCCGCCGCCCCCAACGCATCGAGGACTGGGGGAGATCGGCAATTCGAGTCTATTGTCACATGATCACTTCTTCGCCACGGCGGCCATCTCCCTGGCCCGTTCCGCCACCAGCAGCAGTTCAGGCAGCGAGGCGGTGAGCCACTCGTGGGCTTGGTCGGCCGTCGCATTGGGATGCTCCAACTGCCAGCCCATGAGCAGGTTAAGCAGGTGGCCGATGAGGGGCCCCATTCGGATGCCGGGGATCGAGGCAATCTGGTGGCCATTGAGCAGCGGCCGGAAGAGGTGCGCCTCCTCGAGGCCGAGCTGGGAAATGTGGCTGAAGGCACGCTGGGCAAGGGCACGAGCGGTGGCGAGCCAGGCATCATGGTCTGCCTGGCCGCCGGGGAGCCCGGCCGCCGGGAAGGTGGCCAGGAGGATGGTCAGCTGCAGGGACACATGCCACAGGGGGCCGGCCGCGCGGATGCGCTCGCCGAGCTCATGTCGAACGAGATCCCCACCAGCGGTCGAGGGGAGATCGTGGCAGGCCACCGACGGCGCGGCATCGGGTGAGGTGTCGGGGCCGACAAAGCGCGCCAGGTAAGGCTCCCAGAGGGGAATCGACCGGATGACCACACACACGGAGTTGGCGTCGCGGTGGGGAAGCTTCAGCAGATCACGGATGACGCGATTGGTGCGGGAGATGCTGGCCGGCAGGACCGGGGCAATGCCAAACTTGGAGGTGGCCGGAGCGGGCGGCGACATACTCGCGGCGGCGGCGGCGGCGGCGGCAGCAGTGGCCTCCGTCGCCGGGGTAGCTGCCGAGCCGGTCGTTGGCACAATCGGCAGCGGGGGAAGGTTGCGGATGGGCAACAGCATCGCAGCCAGGTAGCCAATGTAGAGACAGCGCTGGGGCGCATCTTCCGGCAGATTGGGAATCAGATCCGCCAGGGAGTCCTGGTCTTTGGGAAGAGAGGGGTTCGCGGCGGCGGCGGCGGCGGCGCGCTTCGGCTCGTTGGAAGCCCCCTTGGCTTTCTTGGGTTTGGACTCGGCCGGGGGAGGGACCCTTGACACGAACCCGGGTTGGTGCTGGGGAACCAGGTTGGCGGCCGAAATGCTGCCGGGATTTCATGTCCATGTGGCGCGGCGCGCTGGTCAGCATCGCGATCGCACGGTGTCGGGTGTGCCCGGGGCAAGGGAGACCGGGGGGGGGGGGGGGGGGGAGCGAAAGGCACAAAGAGCAAAGGCGGAGCGCGGGAACAAGTGTGAAGGTCCCGCCCCTCCGGGTGCTGGGGGACACGACACAGGTGCAGGCGCACTTTTTGAATGCCAAGATCAGGTCACTGGGAGTCATGTTTTCCGGCAGACCATCCAGAGGCCGGGCGAAGGTATCCTGGTACAGCCGATCAAAGGGGAGCCCGGGATTGGCGGCCAACTCACCCGCGAGGACGGCAATCACCCGCAGGAGCCCGGTTTTGTCCAGATACTGGGCAGCCAGCTCCGGGTGGGGGTCTTCATGGGCAGCGATGGCACGGGCGTCAGTGGCCGGCATAGGGCGGTGGTGGCATGTGCAGGGGCATTTTCCTTCCCGCCCAGGATCCAGGCCCACACTGGCCTTGCATGGACGCGGGATTTTTCTCCCCCCCCCCCTGTCGTGCGGTGGTACGAGGAGGGAAGAAAAAGACGCACCGCACAGCATCTTATGCACCTCGATGCCGATGCGCTCCTTGCTGATCTTCTGGCTGAGAGCCGCATGGCAGGAGGGATCCGCCAGGAAGGATGCTGTCTCGGGCTCGATGGTGAAAGACAGGCGACTGGCAAAGCGAATGGTCCGGAGCATGCGCAACGGGTCATCGGTAAAGGTGACCAGCGGGTCGAGCGGCGTGCGAATCAGCTTCGCCTCCAAGTCAAAGAGGCCCCTGCCGGTGAAATCCTCGATGGTCTTGTCACGAAGATTGAAGAAAAGCGAGTTGATGGTGATATCCCGCCGGGAGGCATCCTCAAAAGGAGTACCAATGGTCTGGAAACATGAGGGGGGGGGGGCGGGGAAGGGATCGACGAGGGAAAGGACACGGCCTCCGAGGGTCAGCCCCAGGAAGATGAAGTGTCGCCCAAGATGGCATCAAGTACGTACGATGGTCGGGATGCGGCTATTCTCGGCGTAGAGCTCAGACCGAAGATTGACGAAGTCCACCCAATTCCCGAAAATGCGCACCGTGGCCGTTTCCAAGTGCTTTGATTGCTCGGGATTCCTGCGAGAGGGTGTGTGTGTGTGTGTGAGAGAGAGAGGGAGAGAGGCAAGAGCCCGGGGCGAAGCCCACGCGAGGTGGCGGGTCAGTGTTTGAGGATGATCCTGCAAGGGGGGGGGGGGGTGCCATCAGGCAATCTGGCAGGCCGGAGGAAGGGAGAGAGGGACAGAGAGGCAGGGAGAGAAATGTACGCACATTTTGATGACCGCCGTGCTGGAGATGTCCAGTTCGTTGGCCTGGCAGTAGGCGGTGACGATCTTGGCAAAGTCCTCGCCGGACATGTTGTTGATGACCACGTCAATGTCATTGGATTGGATGCCAAGTAGTTTGTCGCGAACCCAGCCGCCAGCAAACCGCAGGATTGTCCCATCGGGGTCCCGGTTGAAGGTGGACTGGCGGGCATGCTCCAGGAGAGTCACCAGCCTGGCCTCCCGAGGGGCCAAGGTAAATTCCGCCGGCACCGTGATCAGGCTGTTGGCTGACATGTAGTAGGCCGAGGACAAGGGTGAGGGAGCCTTGCCGGGGATGCGCACGGGTCTGGCAAGCGGCGAAGTCTGGCACAGAGGGCCGGTGGGGAAGGCGGCAGCGGTGTCGACTGGAGGGACACCCGGGGGGATGGTGCTCAGGGACCGGGTGGGGGCCAGCAGACGCGGGGAGGGCCGGGCGGTGGCGGCAGCAGCAGCAGCAGCAGCAGCAGCAGCGGCGGTGGCGGCGGTGGCGGCAGCGAGGCGAGGCTCCTTAATCAGGATCAATAGAGCAGCAGGGCGACTCCTAAGCAGTACGTTCATATGCTCCCGGGGCGCGTGGATGGAGGACGGAAATCAGATCGACAGGCGATGGTCGGGGCACCGGCCTTAAAGCGCGCGGGTGTGCGTATGTGCCGCAGGAAGGAAGAGGGGGAGCAGGAGGAGGAGGAGGAGAAAAGGAGCAGGAGCGGGTGGATGGGCCGAGGTGGAGCAGCAACAGCGGCGGCGGCGGCGGCGGCGGCGGGAGGGGGGCGGGGGGGGGGGGGGGGGGGGGGGGGGGGGGGGGGGGGGGGGGGGG